TAATTTAAATCATTTATTTTTTCAAAGTTTCATATTTGAGCTTGCATTATAATGTTAATTGAAGTTTTAATTATAATTGCAATCATTCACTACTATTTTTGTTAATATTCATTTCTGTTTGCAGGTTCTCATGGAGGGCACGCCAAATTATATGCACTACGCCGAGGTCTTGCAAATATTCCAAAGCATTGAAGGCGTTGAGCGCGTCCACAATTTGCGCATCTGGGCGCTGAGCATTAATAAAGTAGCGCTATCTGCGCATTTGGCAATTGGTGAGTAGCCCCAGGGACTCCGAATGTACAAACCACTGGGCGCTGTACAAAGTGTCGGAGGAGGCGTGGCGCTGGGGCGGTATGGGGCGGTAGAGAAGGTGCCGCACTGTGTGTGCTGGGTGTGGCGAAGGGAGTGAGAGTGTTGGAACTGGTTACTACATGTGTTTTTAACGTGGTGCTGTGTGTGTGTTCGTGTGTGTGTGTGTGCTCTGCATGGTAATTATCCCAATGGATTCGGTGTTGTTGTTGCTGCTACTGCTGCTGGCTGCTGCTGCTGTCCGTTGGGTTAGGCGCATCTCTTCATGTCCATGGCAAACGCGCGCAATTAGCTTAATTATTTTTGAAATGGCTTTTTAAGCGCGGCCAATTTCGACGTGCCACCCATCAATGTTATCAACAAACCTTGCTCCACAACTCTCTTTCTGTCTATCTACTCATACTAACTTACTTTGCCTCTCCCTCTCCCTCGCTCTCTCTCTCTCTCTTTTTGTTCACTAGGTGCCAATGCGAACCCGAAGCAAATATTAGACGCAGCCACTTCAGCGGTTCATTTGCGTTACAATTTCTTTGAGACGACATTACAGATCGAGGACTATACGGCCGAAATGGAGAATTGCGTACAGTGCACGGTGCCAGAGAAATAAGAGAAATGGAATGCAACAACTTTTATTTAGTATTTGGAAAGATTATGAAGCTGTTGAATGGAAGAAAGAAAGAAAGAAAGAAACGAAAAAAAAAAATACTGTGTACATTCGCCTATAAAATGTATCTGTATCTATGAGATAAGCCATAAATGCATTTACCTTATGCACCTGCACTCACAATGCAAACAGACTGAGAGACAGACGGACGAGCGGACGGACAGGATTGCCCATCATTTGGCCAGATAATGTACCTAAAATTAATGCGCTACATTTTCCATCACGTCACATAATATTAACATTGTAAACATGGCACAGTGGTGCAAAAAAACACGAGGAATCTTCAATTTATCGGCCAAATAAATAAAAGAAAAAATAAATAAATAAAAACCGATA